AGGAATTCAGATTTTCACAATTCTCTCACAGCCTCACACACTCAAACAGTTTAGAGGCGAGAAGGAATTGACATATTTCAGAAGAAGATTACCCCCTGTCTGTTACGGTGTATGAGCCCAATTCATTGAATTGTCAGTCGGGTGGCATACTGTACCTTTAGGTAATATGTGCTGAGGATCGCACATGCTACGTTAAAGTCTACAGTTTTGCCTCTACCATGAGCTTTTTGTCCTGCAGAAAAAGTAGTACTGATGATTTCCAGTAGCAAAAGCCCTCAGGGTCTCTCTCTCTGCGTCCATTACATTTCCCATGAAGATCATCAGAGGTAGTGTAACATGCAGCCCTGTTTTCAGGGAACACAGCACTTTCTTGTACTTCATCTCCACACGTACTGCACGCTTGCTGTTGCCATTGTATTTCTTGTGAACATTGTGGTTTGCAAACATATAAAAATATCAGCTTAGAAGCTGCAGTATACAACTGGAGCAGTATGAACAATTAGAAATTTTAAAAAGCAATGACCCATGAAATAGGAACTAGAGTGTCACTTGTTTTCCCCAGGATTGAGTCTTTGTTTCTCAAAACTATTTAGAGACGTACGAGAGCCGTAGCAGTTATCTTTCCCAGTGTGGTTGTAAATGTTAAAGACCTTCCACGTTGGACTGGTTTAAACTGTTTACTATTACACTGAAGGCTGTATCAGGGGTATAGTGAATGGCCTTTGGGAGAAATGCACAGGTATTGTTGTAGCAATTCCTCATCTTTTGTCTTTCCAGAGTGTCATGTTCTTGAAACACGGCACTTCCTGTTCAATTCATTACTTGACCACTTTTAAAGCATGCATAACATGCATGCATAACAGGGCTCATCTGGTTCTTGGGTCTGCTACTATGACATAACTATAGGTTAATCAATAGCTTTGAATTAACTTACAGTGGGGGACTAGCCTTTTGGCATAGGGGAATTCACCAGTATTGGAGGTAGTGCTGTTGACTTTGGGCTGAGATAGTATCTGATAGGCAGAGAACAAATCCCATCAGTGGATGAGCTGTGTGCAACACATATGGAGCATTTTATTTTTAGCCTGAAACATGAGGACATGTCTCGGTCCTCAGTCCCTTGTCAGCAAATTGAAATGTTTTCAGAATGACTCACTGTTGATGGGCACAGATTTGCGAAATAGATTTATAGCCTGTTCCTTGTGGAGGAGACTAGGAGAAGGATGGGAAAAGGACAAGCTGTTTTTATTAATTTCTCTCCTGGCTTTACACATAGCAAAAGAACATGAACAAAGCAGTTTAGAACCAAGAAGGAATTAGTGCACAGTCAATGACACATTTCAAAAGAAGCTTACCTCCTGTCTGTTACAGCATAGGAGCCTAACTCATTGAAATCTCTGTCAGGTGGCGTAGTTTCAAGTAATAAGTGGTTTGAAAGGAATGTGGCTGTTGCTGTGCTTGGATTAGTCAGTATTAAATAAATTAAATACCATATGTAAATATTAAATTAGTCAGAAAATGTGACCTTTCACATAATCCAGGAGGCATATGACATTAACTAAGTTTACTCTGGAACTTTTTTTATTGCAAATACTCCCATCAAATCAGGGCCTTGGATTTAGTGTGACGTCTGCATAATGTGCACTACTAGTATTATTACTGTTTAATTCGGTTGACACCTTTGTCCAAAGAAGCTTACTGCACCTGTGCAGCCGTTAATACAGCTAGCAACTTACTGGCGGGATCTGGGGGTGAAGTATCTTGCTCCAGGGTACAGCAGTGTCCCACTGATTTGAACCTATAGTCTCCAGTTCTGCATCCAGTGCCCTAGCCACTGCTGCCCGAGTAATATGGAGCAGACAGGACCTTGCACTGTGTACCTGTGGCTAATAATGTTACTGAAGATGGATGCCCTCTTCTTACAGATGACAGAAAGATTCATTATTATTTTTTCATTATCTGAAATTGTAGTGTGACCTAAACATTATTTCCTGACACCCCCAATTTATTCAAAGTACCGTCATTTTAACTAGGAGAAGGTTTTTTTGACTTTCAGATTTTCTCCTGTGCTCTTTATCCCCCCCCCCATAAAGTTTTGGCAGCCTGTGTCTCATTTCACCTCCTTCCCCCAGCCCTTGCTCTGTTCTGTTGTCATCTGCCTCTTGACATAACTGATGTTCCTGGGGTTGTGTGATTCTAACATGTTGCTATAAGATAGAAACTAAAGCAAACCAGCTTGCTAATCTTCACCCTTGATTCTGATGTTTTTATCCTACCAATGCAGCCTTAGGAAAATACAAAGGTACCGTATTAATCCTTTTCCTGCCTATACTTATAGTATATATCTATCTGTGTTCGCTTATAGAATGGAAGTCCCCATCAGTCTGGGCTACTGCAAACCTAACAACAGACATATGAATCCAAAAGAACATGGTTGTCACGTTCTGTACATTTCTGTCATTTTTATCTAGGATTTTTCTTTTTTCTTGAGGAGACTCTCTATACAAACTTGTCTGAAGTAATATCTGCCTATTAACTGCTGGGTAGTGGATCAAACATGTCAGATCCAAGACCCAAGGCTTGTCTTGATCTTCATAGGTCAAACTCTGCAAAACAGATTCTCACACTGGATTTAAAAGAAGGGTCGCAGAATTTGAAACAGTGGATTTGCACTTTGCAGATGGTACTCTACTGCAATTCTCACCTCTTGTGGATAGTTTTTTCCAGCAACCCCTAATCATCTCAGGCTGCCTACAACATCACAGGAAGACTCAGAAAGTGCAGACAGACTCCTCCAACTACACACCTTCCAGCCACTCCTTTTCCAACACCTCTCAGGAAGCACAGCAGCGTACAGGAGGCTCAGCACCGACTGCAGTAGAAGAGCTTCCCTTGCCAATGTCTCTAGGCACCAAGGAAGCCACAGTCATCCTGAATTATTAATCCCAACAAACCCACTAGGGTAGAGCTTCCCAATTTGGGTCCTGGTGGCCTGCACGCCTGTTGGTTTTTCATTTAATCCCGCTTTAGTTCGATATTTTGAAGCCTTTCAAGAATGGATCTAAGAAGTTGGTTCTTTGGGAATATTTGCATTTTATTTCTAGTCACAAGTTTGGGATTTTATTTCACTTACAAAATACAGTGGTTAAAGCTCCAGCATGTTTAAGAGCTGGGAGCAGACTGTTTAATTTAATCTTATTTATGAGGCAATGAGGGGTTTGATTGTGGAACTGAGGGCTTGGCTGGAACAAACACCAGCAGGTGTGTGGGTCACCAGAACCAGGACTGGAAACCACTGCACTAGGGGAATCCATCCCAAAGCTGGTTTGCAACGAAGTCTCGAACAAGCGATACCTGGATCATAGAGACCAGCTCTGTTGAGCGTCCTTGCCAGTTGAGAACCTCCTTCTTACCTTTTTGAAGTTTTTTGCCTCCTGCCACTATTAAACATATTGTTTCCCTGCCAGCACTAGTTTAAAAACCCATCAGTCTCTTCTTTTGCATGTAACAAAACAATTTTTCCCCAGTTAGCCTTGGCAATCACTGGACAAAGACACAAATGTACAGAATGACTTTGAATTTTGTCTGACAGACACTGTGCGTCTGCATTAGTACTTTTATTGACTGAGATTCTCACTTCTGTTTAATCCTGAGCTTTATAAGGTATCATTCAAGCGTAGACGATTTGACACAATGTTCACTAAAAAAACTAACAAAACAATAGTGACTGCTCAGATATAGATTGTAACAGAAAGACGATGTGGATATTTCTTTGCCAGTGAACACCATAAGTTAGGACATTACACTGCTGGGCATTCAGTTTTATTGGGGTGTCTGTATTTCATCAATAACTCAACTGCCTGCGATCCTAAAAGGTAGCTAACTGGTAATAAGCATTACATCTTCGGTCTCCTCTAGCTGAGAAATCAGAGAAGACCATCTGAGAAAAGTCTGTTACTAAACAGTGGGCTCTCTTCCAGTGCTTCTAGCGCATCTCATGTTTTCAACCTTTTCTTTGGAAAAAGCCTTCTTTGTTCTTCTTCTTTTTACACTGAATAGATTCTGCCACAAAACTGTCAGGTTTCGTGTTGAAGGGGAAGACTAGCTCTTGGTGTGGGGGCCCTGCTTTCCTATTGTCACGCCTCCTGTGTCTTCTATCTCGCTGCAGCATGGGGGTCAGGGTGATGGATACGTCTTGGGTGTCTCGCAGGGGATCCTCCTTAGTCCGCAAGACGTCGTCCACCCCCCCGAGCGTGCAGCCCCCGGCGCCCCCCGCCGAGCTGCCCTCTCTGGCTCAGTCCCTCGTCCCCGAGCAGCCTTACGAGCTCTCTGCTGCCCCCTGTGGCGGTCCTCCTGCCGGCGGCGCTGGGGACAGGGCCAGGTAAACCCGTGTTGTGGCTTCGTCCTCCGAGCAGCTTGCACCTCCCTCACACCTCCCCTCCTCACGTGCAGATCTTCTCTTCTGTGCTCGCAGATTCCACTTCTAACTGCTTGAGCTTTTTTTTTGGGTGGCTGGGGCGGGGGAGGGGGGAGAGAGTGCATGTGAGTGTGTGCGTGCAGTTGTTTTCTGATTTAAACAGCCTCAAACTAGAGGCTAATCTATTGGCTACTCCCTCTAGTGGAATTAATAAGGGGTTCGAGGACAGGACACACCGATGTTACTGTCCTGTGTATTTTTCTTAGCGAGTTAATACCCCTTCTATCTATGCATCCCAGATTCGATTGCAAGTGTAGGGCAGGGAGGCAGCTGAGCCAGTCGTGGCAGGGGCAGTGAAAGTGCCCATGCCACCTCTTAACTGGGACCAAGGACTAAACCCTCAGAGGAACACACGTTAGGTGCAGTGATTTACTACATTTTCTGCTCAGCCTAGAGATACCCTCCTCCAGGTGTTGAAGAGCCTTAGCGTAGCATGCGGACTCATGCTAACTGCTTTCAGAAAAACTCCCTTTAACTCCAAACAAGCGGTTCCATCACAAGGCTGATTTTGCTTAAATATCTGTAATTGACTCGCTCAGCAATAGGATGTTTTCATTGCAGCCCATCAGTGATCATTTCTTTGCAGCAGATAAGAAAACGCTGACAAAATGTCAGGATGCGTAGTCCCGAAGTGCCGAAATTGTCCTGAGTTGACCGTAAATGATCAAATCGCAGAAGTACAGTACTAGAGCTTGTGCTGTCTCTTGCAATGGTCTTGTTGTGTGTCGTTTGTGTGGTGATCTCATCAATATAAGCTGTGAGTTGAATTGTGTTTCTCTAAAAAAAAAAGCTCATCAGCAGTTGAATGAACATCTTTGTTTCCACCTCTGGCTGTATTTCTGTTCTTTGTTTGGAGACGAGGTATGGAAACTTGTGTCTGAGGCACTGAATGGCCTTACAAACAGCGATCATACTGCAATACTGCAGCGCCTCCCCTGAATAAATCACGCAGAATCAGTTTCACGGTTTGAGAAGCAGGGGTAATATCAGCCTTTCTTTCTTGCAGGATTCTATTTATATAAGAGCATCACCGTTTGTCCTTGAAAACGTAACAAAATTGTTTGATGGCGGGAAAACAAACCCTTTGAAGTATGGGTTTCCTGTCTTAAATGTCACCTTGAGTTGGTCCAGGTCATGGTATACTTCTGATGCTAGATTATGTGCTATCAGACACAACTCCATGCTCAATGCATCACTGATATCTTGGAATACAGTGACTGCATGTCTTTTGTTTCATCTCTCTTTGTTAAAGGAATCAGATTCCTATTCTTTCTTTTTTTTTTACCAAGGCCCTTCCCTTCACTACACTACTGTTATAAGCTTGATATAAACACCATTGCCTTAACAAAGATTATTCCCTTTAATGCGTAAATATATATTAAAGGGAGGATACATTTTAAAAAAAGGAAACGCCCAAAATTCTTCTCGATCGATTTCCTGTTCAAGTTTTAAATTTTTTTTAAAGAAAAATGCCGCGTATGTGTTGGCCCTGAGCTGAAAGAAACAAAAAGGGTTTTCTATTTCTCAGCCAGATCATTTCTTCTTGGTCCTCTCTATACAGTCACTGCTTTTTGTTTTATTTTGTCGTTTTTTTCCCAACATTTGCAGCACAGACGATGTGTCGCCCAATTGGTCGGATTCCTGTTACGCCTATCCTTCCCCTGAGGATGACAGGCCCCCCCCACCATACCCCACCTGCTGCCCCCCGCCTCACCATCACTACCCCAGGGCACAGCCATCCCCCCGGCCTGCCGCCCCCAGCCCTGACTCTGTAACCCCGGCCTCCTTCTCCTCCTCTTCCTCCTGCTCTCCCCACAAGTGGACCGGCTACAGCCCCCTCCCTCCTCCTCCTCCCTCCGCCTCCCCCCAGCAGCTTGACATCAACTCTAACCCCAAGCCCAGCTTCCTCCACCTCCCCAAGCAGAGCTCCCTGGCCGACGCACTGCATGCCAACCCCGAAACTAACATGTCACCCCTTTACATCAAAACCCCGCTGGTGCTGACCAAACACGACCCAGCCCTCAGCCTGCCCCCTAACCTGCCCTCCTCAGCCTTTCCCCAGTGGGGCAGCTGTGCCTGTAGCCGAGACAGAGGGACCAGACTGACTAGGTAAATACACACAACCGCAACCCCACCCCACTGCCAAAAAAGCTACCCCACAACAACAGCAACACAAACCAGTGTGCCCGTTGGGACAAAATGGTGCTTCCTCAGTAGTGTCAAGCTATTGGTGGCTATTTTGTTTCTTTTGCTTCCTTTATTTTGCTTCTCAGACTCTCGCAGACTCAGGCTTTCCTTTATATATACAGAGCTTTTTTTTTTTGGGGCTTCAAGCAGTGTTTTTAAGTTTTTAGACCTTAAAACCGCAGTTCCTTTTTTAAAGCAATTGCATCCCTGGCTGCTGGGAATACCCCTGAGGGCAGTGTTGCTAAGCGACGGAGGATGTTATTAACGCTCAGGATGAGCCAAGCCTCATGTTAATACTTGCATCTTATTCTTTACAGGATTGGATATATGTTTAGGTTGTGTGTGTTTAGGCTACTTCTGTTGTGATGTCTGTTGGTTCCATTTTGTTTTCTGCTGTTGAGCCGACTGATAATCCTCTTCTGAGCTCCAGGGTTGTCAAGCTCTGTTTTGTAGTGTTTCATGCAAGGAGATGAGGACTCAGTTCTATTCTATTCATTACCCTGCTCACCTCTGGGCACCAAATCCCAATCAACTCCCAACGTCCCACTCATGCTCTCCATCTGCTTCAAATGCATTTGGGATTTGGGAGCTGAGAGATTGTAGCTTTCGTTGAGGTGCTGCTCTGAATGAATTAAGTTCCTGACCTTCGTGCTAAACCTGTAGCAGCTGCTTCTCCTTCATCGTCTCCATTAAATCAAAAAATCCTTCATAAGGATATCCTTCATTTTATAAGCCTTAGTGATTTTAAACGGGAGTATTAGCAGCTGTCTGATGATATGAAAGTGCAGGATGGGGCTTGAGGATGGTCAATTAAGGACATTGATGCTTCCTACAGTATATTCTTGAGTACATGACAAACATATTAATTGACAAGAACAGGTCAAGAATAATGATTTCACTGTCAGTCTCTCCTGCTTTTCTCTATGTCAGCAAAGATATTCTTCAGTACATTACAAGGCAGTGGTTTTGACCTTATTAAATTTCAGGGTGAGTGAGACACTGTGTTATGACTTAGTGATGCGTTCTATACCATTACACTGTAAAACCTGTTTGGTTCTGATATAAAGCTACACCATTGAATTTGTCATAGAATCAACAATTCATGCAACACTAGCAGGTATTATCTGTTATCTCGATAAAAAAATGAGCATTTGGACAGTGCTTGCTTATTTCTGTGTTTGTGGAGCTGAGCAATATTTCAGTGCAAATCTGTAAAAATAATTTCACTTCTGGAATATGTTCAGATGTATGAGAGCACTAGAGCAGGGGAGCCCACCCTGGTCCTCCTGGGCAGTTTGTTTTATAGATCTCTTTAAATCACCTGCTTCTTGAGGACATAGGACATGGAAAGGCTTCAACTTGTCCGGTTCAGCAAATAATGAGTTCAGTTTGGTAACGAAGGGCTCAGGTGGAAAGAAAACCTTCTGGCCTTCCAGGACTGGAGTTGTGCAACCCTCTGCAAGGGGAAGACTGGACCGACTAGTGCATACAAGTACAGACAGTGCATCAGGCTTTACAACAGTTTAAGCACACACACATACAGCACGTGTACAAGTAAAATAAAATCACACACTGCAGCAGAAACTGTGATGATCTCTAACTCAAGAAGAGACATGGGTCGTGTCCAGCGTGGTAGAGGTGAGTAGCACACATTTACAGCCAACTCTGATGCACGGAACATTCCTCACACCCCAAACACAAGGCACAATGGTCCAGCATCACGAGAGCCAACCTGTTCTGAGCACAGCAGGGCTGTTTCTTTCTACCTTCTTGAAAGCCGTGTTCCATGTGTCCTGTGACATGGTGCAGAGCTTTCACAGCTACAGTTTACTTGCTTTCCCAGTTAATCTGGCAATGGCCAAACAACTTTGTGGATTTCTTAGGATCAAATGATCCAGGACAGCTTGTGTATGAGTTGTGATCCATCTACAAGAGGTGTAGCAGCAGTAGCCACTTGGCTAAGACTGCTGCCTTGTGTTTGTTTTTAACAGCACAGAAATCCGGAGAAGCCCTACTGTGCTCAGAACAATGGGGTCTATCCATTTGTCTGTTACATAGTACATACTGTAGACTCCACCTCAACGCACCTCAGAGATATGGCTATTGAGCATATGCTTTATGATGAAGTCACTTGGAGACTGAATTGTGATCGTGGAAAAACCAAAATGCCCATTTAAAAATATATTCATACAGTTGGTTCAAGATGAAATAAGGGAATTCAAGCCACTTCTGCAAGTATTTACCAAGCACTTAACATGACATGGATTTCTTCAAGATACAGTATAAGAATGTCTGTTAACATTGCCATTGCCATCACTGGGACCTGGGGCTCATTACTCCGTGATGTTTTCTCTGCCACCAAAATTTTGGTCCTCTGCAATTGTATTTTTTGTACCAATAATGAATGCTGCTAATAATTAAATGTTACTGGTTACAGATGGTTGCATGTTAAGTGACCTTAACAGTACAATGCATGATAGGTCAAGTAATTAACCTATTAATTAAAAAAGCAGTCACCTTTGAAAGATAAACAGATTGTATAATCTGAATTTTGGGAAGTCAAATTATATGCCATGACTGTGGAGTTTTCTTTCTTGGGAGGGTTCC